AAAAAAAAAAAAAACTTAGTTTATATTATAAATTAAAGCTAGATAAGATATGTTGTTCTAAAATCGGCAGTTTTGCTATGAAGTCATCGGATGGCTTGACTTATGGAGTCATTTACGCTTATTCACCAATAGTGTATTGACATGTGTTCTACAGTAAATCACTTTGGACATGTGTCAATACATTAAGTAGTGGATGACTCTATAAGAAAATCATCTTATTACTCCATTGAATTTTTTCTAAAATTGGTTTATAGTTCATCCGGTTTCGCTGTGAAACCAATAGTTGACTCCATAGTGGAGCCAACATTTTATATACAGCAAGTAAACCATACCATATTGATAAAATTATTAGTGTTATTTAAGTAATCAGAGAATTTTGTATAATTTTCTTGTTGTATGTAGAAGGTTGACTCCACTATTGAACCAACTGTTGGCTTCGTGATAAAATCGATAATTCATCATTTTTTCATTTCAACAACAAATGTCGTGATGATAATGTCACTATTTTACATGTATTATTCATCCAATTAAATGAATAATTATAGTATTAATTTGGAAAGAGATTATTTTTTTTTTTTCTTGACGAGCCATGAACGATGATTAAGCTTGGCCTTGAAAAAAAAAAATATATATTGGAATTAATTGGGAGCATGATAAAATTCACATTAACAATAATTTTGATGCACTTATTTGGTCAATATTCTCAACTTATTATCACACCCACATCCACGCCTACCCGAATACTAGGTATATCAATTTCGAAATTGAGCATTGACTTTTTGGATAGCATATGAGACATTATATATATATATTAGTTGGCTTCCGGCTGTGCACGCACAACCGGCCCAAATTTAATCATTAATCTTAAAAAAAAGATCTTGCAATGAATAATTAGTGTGACTAAAGTAAGATCTTGCAAGGTGCCAATTTTCTCCAACCTTAGATTACTTATTCGACAGACGTCTGACTACTAAGTTTAAACATTTGGTGTTTGAGTTCAATAAAATATAATCAGACACATCATTCTAAAGAGTCGCCAAATTCTTGATATTATCGTCTACTACAACAATGTCATACTAACATGTGTGTCTAATTTCTTTCTGAGTGTACCTCTCAAGCAATGTACACTTTTCTTTGGCGTAAGAACATGCTTATTTATGTTGGTCAACAACTGTATCTCCTGAATTACACAACTAAAAGTCAATAAACAATGTGGAAGATACATACAATTGATATATTTCAAAACTTTGGAAAAAGTCCAACGATTATTAAATAGTAGAGCAACTGATGCAAGGAGATTTTAATTGCAACAGACTACTATCATAGTATTTGAGGAGCAAAAAAAAAAGGTCTATATGAGCAAAAAGTAGTCTAACTACTTTTAGTTTTCTAAAGAAAAAAGGGAATTTAACTTATTTATGAAATCGTAAATTAATTTCTTATACATGCAGTAGTATAGTAAGACAAAAATTTTGGAATTGAATTTAGGATATTGATAAGAGAATATAAAATAAACAAGTTCGCTGTCGAATACACGTCCATAACCTGGAAAACTTCCAAATGAGTTTAGATGATAATTAACTTATGCATGTCGAGCAAAAGCAGTTAGACTTTACCTTCTTTCATGTGATTTGTATCAGTCCACTCATTTTTTGGCAAAACTAAAAATACACAATTATAAAGCCACTCATTTTTTGCCTAAGACCGAACTTTGGAATGGGTGTGACCAATGGACGCTATCAAGATCGCAGTCCGCCTTATTTCCAAATGGATCCGCGCTCTGCACGTTCACCGTAATCCCCCAGCAGTTTGTCAACATCTGCCTCAAGCAAGACAACGATAGGGTAAATTAAAAGAAATTAATGTCAAATATGGATAAATATATTAATAAAAATGAACGAGGATCTAAAGGAATATATCACAACAATCATGATTCATGCAGAGAGAGCAATGGAGAACAAACCATAACTCAATTCTATTGGCAGAACGGAAATATATTGTCAGAAACCTACAGTACGAAAGAAAAAAAAAATGGTATCACGTGTTTTTGTCATCAAACAATAACAATCAAAATCCAAATAGATCTATTAGATGAAGTCTAAATTAAAGAATTTATTCATTCGAAATCAAAGTGTTGTGGAGTTGTAGATTTACTATTCTGAACTCATGACTGATGCGATAATTCATCGGTGAACGGATGCGGCTGTTCACCTTCAGACTGACCATGACTGTTCATGATATGTATTGAGGAATGGAGAAGAGGTTAAATATTCCGATACAAATAAAAGATGAATAAAAGAGTAGAGATAGAAACTGAATTCGTACGCAACTCAAAAATCAACACACACTTTTTTAGTTGAGCAAAATAATAATAATAATAATAATAATAATAATAATAATAATAATAATAATAATAATAATAATAATAATAATAATAATAATAATAATAATAATAATAGTATTACTAATAATAATAATAATAATAATAATAATAATAATAATAATAATAATAATAAGCGCATTTCATTAACTTTTCTCGATGAAACTGGTTTTTCTTTAGAGGTTCATAAACACTCCTTTATAAAGTTGTACGTAAATTTGTCCCATATATAAAATAAACGCACAAGCGAACAAACCTAAAACGATACAAACCACATGTGCATATGCTTTTAGAGAGCAAACAAGTATTAATAAAAATCACCTGAACAAACATTTATGTTCCATAAAAATGATGAAGGGTTTGCAAGCATTCATAGTAGGTTCTCATGGCTATGCGTTTAGGCTAATACTATCTAGATGTGCTAAGGTTGTGGTTATAACCGGTAAAGCCAACCATTTTTAGCTCTACTGCTTGTTGCTTCTCGATCATTTCTAATGTGCCGCAGATCTCCATCCCTATACCCCTTAATCACATTAAAAATGTGTGAATGCATGAAAGTTTGATCGCCAAATCGACGCAGAACAGCACGATTAAATATAAAAATCAGACACAACTTGATTTATTTCAAATGTTTAAGGATCTGGTTAGGACTGGTCTTTGTTCCTATAGTTTCTCGCCATGTAGCACTTATACACAATCAAGTGTTGTCCTCCTCTTTTGCTGGCTCATTTACGAATAACTCTAATTCCATATTCAAATAGATATAATTCATGCAACAATCCGAGTAAACTAAAAATAATAATTCAAATAATTACTGCATGTGATTAAAATTAATGAACAAGATAAACCCACAACTAAAAAAGAACCAAGCTCGACGGATTTCACCTTGATCAATGGACATTCAATTGAAAATGTTTTCGGAATCAAAGGTAATGCTTACCAATTATACATACCGGAGCTGCTTGTCAGCCATTGCAGGCAGGTCGTCATCGCACGATTTGTCCAATTAACTGGAAAATTTGGAGCTCAGCCGTTACGGTAAGTTGTCCGATTAACAATGTCGTGGCGGTGGATGGATACCGACTGCGTGGTAACCCGTTGTGTCCTGGCTCAGACCTCCTTGTCTGTACCTGACTATCAATGACATCACCATTTTTATGACCATCTTCTCGCGCTTCCCGAAGAGCCCTCCTCGAGATAGTTGCATTTTTATTTCTGTTTCTATGACTATAATCCATGTGTGCTTTTTTAATATCCCGTCTCAGAATGCAGTTTCCTCATCCTCTTCTTTTATTTGCTATTATTAAAAGTTGTACTTCACGAAAATCTAATAGGACTTTCCATCCTTAGTCGTACCAAGTCATCATTAGAAATGACATAACCAAACATCTTATTGACGTAACTGAGATAAAATGCCTTGGATCGTAAAAGTGACATAAGTCGATTCAATATTTAGCGTGCACCTTCTTGAGCGGGATAAAAGTAGGATGAGCAACAAATGTCTGTCTTTACCTTATGTAACT